TAACTGTAGCGACCGAACTAACCATACTGCGACAACCAGTACAAGTTTTAGTATGGTGACCAAGCTAACCTCTTTGGGACCGGAGTAACTTTATGGCATTTTACTCAATCCTTCGCACTGAGGCCCACAACGGCCCAACTCAGCCCAATTTACATATAAATTCCCCTCTCATATATATATATATATAAATATATTAGGTATCAGTGGCTTTTGATGGTGGAACACCGTGTGTCCCCCTTTCATGATAAAAGCATCCACATGCTGCTGTTGTGTGTAAGCACTCACTTCTCTCTTTTATGATATCTTTAAATAAAATAAATAATCCACTTACCACCCCATTGAAAATATCATAATCCTATGATATATCCCACTCATAATCCATCATCATATATTCTATTTTCCACCAAATCCATCTGACTATCTTTTCATTTGGCAAAAAAAAAAAAAATTATTGGGTCATTACAACCTACCCTCCTTAAAGAAATTTCGTCCTCGAAATTAAACTCAAGTAATATAATACATTCTACAGTCACCCACAAATTCACTCAGGTACTTACCAATGCATCAAGAAATTTTTTTTAACTATTACATGAGTCTCAACGAGTCACACCGGTAATGAACCAAACCATTACTTCTGCACTACAATTGGTTATAAAACCCCTTATTAATATAAACCATCAAGTTGATTCTTCTATCCTCATGGATAACCCAAAGCAACAAAATAGGATCTAATTCCTATTTGGCAAAACGACTCCGCAGAATACTAAGACACCATACCTTATTGTTGATAATCCAATTTCAACGAACTAACTCCATCGCCTGATGCACAATGCATCCCAAGGCCAAAATAACTGTCACTATTCCGAGACCTTAACAAAACGAAATAATAACCCTTCAAAAGCACTAACCACCAACTCTTATGAAACATAATGCAATCATGCCAAACACACTACTCGAAAATTCTCAGCCACAACTTTAATTGCCCAACCAAGCAATTTCTGTATTATTTTTACCTATCCACTCCATTCCTTTCATTCAACGAACCGACTAACAGTTTATGCAAATTTGTCTATATCCACCCACATAATTTCACTTCAACATAGAATTTACTCAAACGCTGACTCAATGCACTTTGAGTCCACATAGAAATCATCAAGAGTAGATATAAATTCTAAATATATCAAGGTACTCCCAATAAAGTTAATTCAGAACCACTCTCATTCTTTGAAACCTAAGCCATGACACTAACTCCAAAGTTACAACACGATTCTGCATCACAATAATATTACGATAACTCACGAGATCAGACCCAAATTGAACAACTCTTACTATACCAACTCACTTATCGACAAGTATTATTACCGGCTATTGAGGCCAATTAACGGAATATTCTATCTCTCACCCTAGAAGTATACAAAACCAATCACAATGGGGCACTCATAAAGATTGACACTGAAACGACTCTAAAATTCTCTAATCGTTAATAAATTGATTAACCTCAAATTACAATAAAATCTCTCGAAAGGAAATTCAATGTACATCCCTTACCATAAGAAATAATTCTACACTTCTGATTCAGAATTCTAATTAAAATAATCTTTTCAGTACTTCAATCCAATCACTACGAAATCTGCTTCACACCTGAAAAATAAAAATTTAACTCTAAAAGTAATCCACCACAATTGAATCCTCATAACTGCTCATGTCACAAATAACAACACCAACTACCATATTAAACCCACCACGAAAAGCTTCCACAACTCAAGACAAAAGGTTACACCAACAAATACTAGTTTTAGTTACTTTGAAATCTTCTATGAAGTCTCTAGCCAACTCACTTCCACCCAAATTATAAAAGATACTACCACAAGTTATAAAGCCACTCCTTTACTCTAAGAATTTTCTATGTCAACAATGGTCATCCCATAACAATTTCCAAGACTAACATAATAACGAAAGTACTTCATACCAATTTATTCTCTGATGAAGGGTCTACCGAATAACTTCTTCTAGGGTAATATCACCACAAAACACGATGAAACAAAATTAAAATAAGAAATCATCCTCTATTAGGAAAAACCAAATACATTTTAATTAAGAAAACACTTACCACTTAAGGTTAAATACACCCAAATTAAACCCAATAATAATATTAGATCAACACACCAATAGCACAAATCCTTACCACACTTGTAGCAAAACGAAGGATCAATATAAGGGGTTCGCAACTCTTACACCGAGGATATAAAACAATCTTATAGCTAAAGGACAATGGACACAAAATAACCTCCATTTCAATTGCATGAAAATCACCGTCACTACACACGCCAAACTTAACCCAAAATGCTCATGTATACTTCTCATATTCACAATTTCTAATCCATAAGTAAGAGTAGCTATAAAAATGAACATCAGTCACTCGCAATGGATCAAGCACTAATTTTTTATGAAAATACTCAAATCATAGACACATCAACCATCTCAAGGCGTCTAATCATAATCTCCATGGAATCACAACATACTCACATGATCATTTCAAAAATTTCTTTAAAGACATTGGTTTGCTAACACAACTCCCGAGACATCAATTTCATCATATCCCTAAACACTTATTGCACTTGGGTATAATCAACAACTAATTATGAGACAATGGACTCCACCAATCTCGAAGGTACTCGAAACTCGCCTGCATGTTCTAAAATATCAACTCACGAGTCAATGTTGTTGCTACTAATAATCTCATCAAATGGCGTAACCCAAATCAAATTTAATCCCATTCCAATCTATCTCAAAATTATTCATCTCATTTGCCCTCTTAGGATTTGCAGCAAAATTATGAATAAAACAAACTCTCTAAGAAACACATTTCTTACTATACGACATAATTTTTATCGTGCTAGAACTACGTTTATTCCCAAACGCATACAAAATAATTGGCCTAGGGCCCATCACTAACCTCACAAGTAGTCCATCAAGCAAGTGAAACAATCCAACTATAACTAACTTTGTCTATCCCAAGAAATTTAGAACTAGTCTTACGTGTTCTAATGTTAACAATCCAAAGCATATTACCTTATATAAGAGATAGAATTTAGCTCAGAAGTAGGCACTCCACACTAGTCCTAACACGTTGCATACGGCTTAAATATAAACCTACACATGTATCTACATCACATAAGGCAAACCATATAAGCACATACTCACATAGAGCACATACAGATTTTCTTTCTAGATAATGGTTGTCCCATGACATTGCTAGAGTTCCAATCAGAAATAGTGGTGATCAAGTGCTCTTCTGACTGGACTTCCAGGAACTCACAGACCCAATCAACATCTCAGAAATCAAACCCCATACCCATATAATCACATAAGCATGTTATCACATAGTCACAAAATGCATAACACTTCCTAAGCATGCTAAGTGAACCCATTGTGGTTAAACAACCACTTCCCACGAGCTCCAAGTATTCAAACCCGGTAGCTCTGATACCAAGTTGTAACACCCCCAAAATATTACAATAAAGATAGCTCATATGCGGAATAAATATGAGAAACAACATGCTTTCATATATCAGAGTTCACTGTTTAACAAGCAATTAAATGCCATATAGGCTTTCATCTTTCCAAGACATTGCTTGGTTACACAAATTGAGTCTCATTCATTACATCTTAAGCCCTTGGCTTTACAAATAACACTCATGCACACATAAAACATAACTAGGAAACTCTTGCTTCCCGAGAGTCCATCCATGCTATTGTCTTGGAGGTAACATCTCACCTGCACCTGAAAATGGTATTCCCGTATAGGGTGAGCCAACAGCCCAGTAGAGATATGCTAAACATAATATGAGCAATAACTAAAATGTGAGCATCCGATAAATGTTTAACTTACATAATTCCATTCATAATCCATTTCCATTACATGACAAATGTGTCCATGTTTCATAACAATTTCCATTTCTTAATTCATGATTCTGACTCAGAACCTGGCTATACACTTTAAGTGAGGTTACATCTCATATCAACAGTACTTCCATTTCAATTGAGATAAAGACTCAAATTAAACATTTCGTACTTCACAATAGATACACGTATTTGCTGTATCAATCTCTAACAAAACACTTCCATACTTCATATATGATATACAGATTTGCTATCTCAATACTTCAATAGATACACTTATTTGGTGTATCAATGGAGTACATCCCCTATCTCCTCCCAAACAACATCCGGTTTAAGAGTCCATCCCCTATCTTCCCTTAAACCGTGGAGTACATCCCCTATCTTCTCTCACATAACACAATGTATATAAACGTTATCATATACATGTTCATTTAATACACAAATTCGATGTATTATCACAACCGTCATATTCGATGACATTTCAATTGATTAGTTTTAGTTTGTCTAATCATCATGCATTGTCTACAACAATCAAGACTATCCTACATCATAGCCCAAAGCAATTATTTCTAAATAGATAATAAATGCATCAACAGATAAATTACCAACATTTCAAAGGTGAGTGATTAATGAATCCAACTTCACCATTCTATCTCATAATGAGTCAATTTCATTATTTCTAACTCAATTTCATATTTCCATAATAATTGTCATTAATTACACTAATGACCCGAATATACCCAAACATGGTATTTTCCTCATTTTTCTCAATATTGACCCAAAGGCTCAAATATTATCAAAAATTTCAATAATCTCTATTTTAAACCCAAAACACATAGGTATGAGTCAATTGAACAAAACCCCTCTTTTCAACATTATACATCTCAAACCCTAACTTTCCAAATCAAACCATCTATACAAATAACTCAACATTTATGTTAAAACACATAAGAATGAGTAGGAATCCCTACCTCAAGCTAGAAGAGGAGTTAACCCAAAAATGCAGACATCACCCGATTATGTATCTGAGATCATCATTGTGAAAATCACGACAAGCCCTCTGACTTTCAATATGATTCCTCAAACCTCACCTCATGTAAACCCACGTGCTTTGGGCCCACCCGAGCCATTCAAAAACCAAACCAATTTTGAATCACCACAAGAGGCAGCAACACGCAATCAACCAGTTAGCATGGGTGGCCTATTAACAACCACGCCCACGTGGTGGCCCTCCTATTGTAGTAACAATGTTCCTAAGTGGATGGAAAATTTCAAATCAACTCAAAAAAATATATATATATATATATATATAATATAAAGATAAGGGATATCCTCGGGCAATCCATATGCTATTATCATCATACCTCAACTTGCTTTAGCCTCAAAGCATCACAATCTACATGCATAACTGAGGCGCACCCACGTGAACTAACGGCAGCCACATCTGCTAGTTCACTGTCTTCAACCTCTTTAGACATTAGCTTAAGCACTTCAACCAAAGCTTTTGTTGTTTTCTCAATGCCTCTGGTAATCAGAACAAGGTTTGCACCAGCTGCTACCACCTTTACACCCTCGGTGATAAGACCTCGCGCAAGAACAATAGATGTGGTTGTCCCATCTCCAGCCAAGTCGTTGGTCCTGGCAGCTGCTTGTCTAACCAATTTAGCACCAATGTTCTCTACTGGATCTTCCCATTCAACCTCTCCAGCCACAGTCACCCCGTCATTAACAATTTTTGGGGAGCCATACTTACTCTCTAGAACAACATTCTGGCCCTTCGGACCAAGAGTAACCCCAACAAGATCCGCAAGCTTGTTCACACCACTTTGCAGTGTTGAAAAATTTATAAAGAGGTAGTTGTAAATTGAAATAGACTCCATTTTGAATGAAAGGGTGTAACCATTCATGGTGTCTTTTTGTTTTATAGAAATGGTCAAACCTCCATTTGAATGAAATGGTGCAAACCTTTCATGGTGTCTCTTTATTTTAAAGAAAGGGTTATGTCCCTTCTTCATACATTTTCTATTCAAATTGAATAGGTGCCAACAAAGCCTATATAAAGGCAGCCCCATTCCAATTTTGATTGATTCCAAAAATTCATTTTCCTTGCTTCATTTTGCTCTCTTGCGTCCTTTATTCTTCACATTATTTTAGAGAAAATTTCAGAAACGGTTCTAGTTCGCCGGACAAATTTGTTTGAAGTGCTACTACAAATTTGTGAAGATCATTGTATCCTAGGAGATAGACGCCACATAACCGTAAGCACCGTAGCGGGGTGAATCTGTCTTAAGGACAGAGTGTCACACACTCGACTTAGTCTTTTATTTTTAATTCGGTTCAATAAATAAATTCGGTACGTTATTTATTTATTTTGTTTGTGTTAGTTTCAATTTATTTTATTTACACAGAAGATTGTTCCAACAATCTTAAGACAGATTCGAATTATTCTGTTTGCAGAATTTTTCGTTTGTTTCCTTTTCTCTTTCTTCTTTTAAGAAAATTATTTTCTGTGGATTTACAAAATAATATTCTGGTTGGAAAAATAAATAGTGGTTATATGCTATTTGAAAGATAGTAGTAATATACTATCTATTTTCTTTGACAACTAGTAGTACGATACTGGTGTCATTAACAATTTAGAATATATTTTTGTGGAATTTTGTCAGAAAATTAATTTTGGTTTTTAGAGATTATTTTTTGAGTTTTCATTAATTAAAATTCTGTTACAGTATTTTAATTATTGGAGTGTTACAAGAGATTTAAGTTTTTGTGTGTAATTAATTTGGTTAAATAAAATTTTATTTTATTTCCAAATTAATTGGGAAAAAAAGTTATATTCTTATTTCTTTTAGTTTACAGAATTTAATTTCTTGTATGGAATTAATTTGGTTAAATAAAATTTTATTTTATTTCCAAATTAATTGAGAAATAAAAGTTATATTATTATTTCTTTTATTTTACAGAATTTAATTTCTTGTGTGGAATTAATTTGATTGAATAAAATTTTATTTTATTTCTAAATTAATTAAGAAATAAAAGTTATATTCTTATTTCTTTTATTTTACAGAATTTAATTTCTTGTGTGGTATTAATTTGGTTAAATTAAATTTTATTTTATTTCCAAATTAATTGAATAATAAAAGTTATATTCTTATTTATTTTATTTTTATAGAATTTAATTTTCTGTATGAAGTTAATTTGTTTAAATAAAATTTTTATTTTCAAATTAATTGGAAATAAAAGTTACATTCTTATTTCTTTTATTTTTACAGAATTTAATTCTGTGAATTTGGTTTAGTTTTCTGTGTGGAATTAATTTAGTTAAATAAAATTTTATTTTATTTTATTTCCAAATTAATTGAAAATAAAAGTTACATTTTGTTTTGTTTCTTTTATTTTAACAAAATTTATTTCTGTAGTTATGGTTTAATTTGTTTTCAAATTAATTGGAAATAAAATTTACAATTCTTATTTCTTTTATTTTTACAGAATTTAAAATTCTGTGTTTTTTGTTTTAAATTTTTTGTGTTGTATAAAATTCTAATTATAATTTTATTTTATAATTTAGAATTTATGGCTACTAAAACTGGTCAAACTAATGTTCAAACTAGTACTGGTATGGTGATTGTCATTACGCCAACCTCTCCTTATGTTGGGACTGTGCCAGTGAATCATGGTAAATAGCCAGAGAAGTTCTTAAGAACTGATTTTTGCGAAGGCAAAGGAAGAACAAGTAAGAAGGTTTCTGTAACCGAAATGGATATAATTTCCAATGGTGTAGATGTCATAAATCTTTCTGCAGGTGTTTCCGAGGCAAATCTTGTCGAAAATCCTAAAGAATGGTCGGTGGAAACTGGTGCTACTCGTCATATCTGTGCCGACAAAAAGATGTTCACATCTTATTTTACAGTAGACAATGGTGAACAACTTTTTATGGGCAACTCCTCAACTTCCAAAGTTGAAGGACAAGGAAATATTATTTTGAAAATGACATCTGGAAAGGAACTCACTCTCAACAATGTGTTGCATGTACTGGACATTCACAAGAATCTTGTTTCCGGATCTTTGTTGAGTAAGAATGTGTTTAGGCTAGTTTTTAAAAGTGACAAGTTTGTACTTACCAAAAACGGGATGCATGTAGGAAAAGGTTACATGTCTGATGGCCTTTTCAAAATGAATGTAATGACTGTTATACCCTCTGGTATTAATAAAAATACAACTTCTTCTTATTTGCTTGAGTCTTCAAATTTATGGCATAGTAGATTAGAACATGTTAATTATGGATCTTTACATAGATTAATTAATATGGAATGTTTACCTAAATTTGATATTGATTTAAATCATAAATGTGAAATTTGTGTTGAGACAAAATTATCTAAAACTCCTTTTTCATTCAATTGAAAGAAGTACAGAACTACTTGAATTAATTCATAGTGACATTTATGATTTTAAATCAATTCAAACAAAAGGTGGGAAAAAGTATTTTATCACTTTTATAGATGACTATACTAGATATAGTTATGTTTATTTAATTCGAACTAAGGATGAAACTTTGGAAACTTTCATTCAATATAAGAATGAAGTTGAAAATCAATTTGGTAAGAAAATCAAGAAAATAAGAAGTGATAGAGGTGGAGAATATGAATCACCTTTTGGTGAGTTTTGTAAAGAACATGGAATAATTTATCAAACCACCGCTCCTTACTCACCTCAGCAAAATGGAATTGCTGAAAGGAAAAATAGGACTTTAAAAGAAATGATGAATGCCATGTTAATAAGTTCTGAATTACCTCAGAACTTGTGAAGGGAAGCAATACTTTCTGCTAATTATATACTTAATAAAGTACCCCGAAAGAAAGTGAATCAAACATCTTATGAATTGTGACATGGAAGAGTATCATCCTACAAATACTTAAAAGTATGGGGTGTTTGGCTAAAGTGGCTATTCTTAGTCCTAAAAAGACTAAGATAGGTCCTATGACCATTGATTGCATTTTCATTGGTTATTCCAAGAATAGTAGTGCATATCGGTTTTTGATTTATAAATCAAAACATTTCGAAATGCATGTAAATACTATTATTGAGTCTCGGAATGTATCATTCTTTGAACATGTATTTCCAAATAAGACTGGACAAGAGACTAGAATAATAAGAGATCTTTTGATGCTATTACTAGTTATGATCAAGAACATGATAAAGAGCAAGAGTTAGATCAAAATGAGGAAGATGAACCTAGGCGTAGTAAACGTGCTAGAACCTCAAAATCTTTTGGTCCAGATTTCCTAACATTTTTGTTAGAAAATGAGCCTTTAACTTTTAAAGAGGTTATGTTCAGTCCTGAAGCTCCTTTATGGAAAGAAGCTATCAATAGTGAAGTTGAATCCATCTTGCAAAATCACACTTGAGAATTGGCGGATTTGCCACCAGGTTGTAAATCTCTTGGGTACAAGTGGATTTTCAAAAAAAATTTGAAAGCGGATGGATCAATTGACAAGTACAAGGCAAGACTTGTGGTCAGAGGATTTAGACAAAAAGAAGGTCTTGATTACTTTGACACATACTCATTGGTTACTAGAATAACATCCATTAGAATGCCAATTGCCATTTCATCTCTATACAATCTGGAAATTCATCAAATGGATGTGAAAACTGCTTTCTTAAATGGTGAGTTAAATGAAGAAATTTACATGGAACAACCAAAAGGTTTTTCTGTTCCAGGAAAAGAAAAGAAAGTGTGTAAATTGGTTAAATCATTATATAGTTTAAAACAAGCGCCAAAGTAATGGCATGAGAAATTTGACAAGGCAATGATGTCAAATGGATTTAAAATTAATGAATGTGACAAATGTGTTTATATTAAAAACACAGACAAAGGTTATGTCATTGTATGTCTTTATGTAGATGATATGCTCATCATAGGTAGTAATAATGACATGATTAAAACTACCAAGAAAATGTTGAATAAATATTTTGACATGAAAGACATGGGCATTGCTGATATAATTCTTGGTATGAAAATTACCAAAACATCAGAAGGTTATGCTTTGTCACAATCTCATTACATTGAGAAAATACTTGACAAATTCAGCAAAGATGATGATCATCTTGCTTGTACACCTGTAGATGTTAATTTGTATCTTTCTAAGAATGTACAGGAAAGTATTTCTCAATTAGAGTATGCCCAAATTATTAGAAGCTTAATATATTTGATGAACTGCACTCGCCCAAATATAGCTTATGCAGTAAGTAAATTAAGTAGATATACGAGTAATCCAGGAGTAGAACACTGGAAAACAATTATAAGGGTTCTAAGATATCTTCGATTTACTCATAACATTGGGCTGAATTAAACTAGATATCCAGCAGTACTTGAAGGATACTGTGATGCAAATTGGATATCGGATACTAGAGACTCAAAGTCCACCAGTGGGTATGTCTTTACTCTTGGTGGGGCGGCTGTATCTTAGAAATCTTCCAAACGGACTTGTATTGCTAGATCTACTATGGAATTCATAGCTTTAGACAAAGCAGGGGAAGAGGCAGAATGGCTTTGCCACTTCCTTGAAGATATTCCAATTTGGCCAAAACTGGTGCCTGCTATTTGCATACATTGCGATAGCCAATCAGCAATAGGTAGAGCACAGAGTCATATGTATAACGGTAAGTTACGACACATTTGTCATCGACATAACACCGTAAGACAACTATTCTCTAATGGAATTATTTCCATAGAATATGTTAAGTCTAAAGACAACATAGCGGATCCACTAACCAAAGGGTTAGCAAGAGGGTTAGTTGAGAATTCATCGAGGGAAATGGGACTAACGCCTATTAA